TTCATTAGTCTTGAAAGTTTGCTTGCTCAAAGCACGTTGTTGCAGGATTTTACTGTAACCTCTGCTTATAAAAATGCTTATTTCTACTGGCATACATGGATCTGCATTTAAGTTTATTTCCTTTTTATGGAAGCAAACTAACTTTAAACATATTAATGCCATTTAAAGGACTGGAGTTTAAAAAAATAGCGTCTTAGTGTCTTAAATGTAACGTAACCAAAACTGAAAACTTCTGCGATTTAAAGGAAAAGTCCGGTCAGCAAGGAATAACCAATGGATGATTTAATGAATTTAGTGTTAATCAGTAAAAAAAACGTCACGGTTTGGTAAGCCTAGCGCCATTCTCCCCGCTTTACAGCAAAATCAATGGGAACTACTAGACACATCTGCAATCAACAACAATTATTTAAGATTTCGAGAGGACCTCACCATTGAAATTCATGGGAGCTATAGTTAAACTGACAATGCCCACATGCATGGCAGTTGGATGTTGTAATTCATCATGTAAAAGTGAAAAGAAAATTTGTTATTTCACCTTTCCGATTCATGGAAACATGTTTGTCCTTGATTGCCAACTTGAAGAGGGAAGATTTGCCATCAAACTTCTGGCCAGAGAAAAAACATGAAATATGTAGGCAAGATTTTAAGGAGAATTTTTTTCAGGTTGGTTTAATAATAGCGCATTATGACAAACACCAGATACAGCATTGGGACTTGTTCTACAGCCGATACCGCACCGTGACGTCACAAACCGGCAGGTGGCAGTAGTGTTCTTTAAAAAACATGGATGTCTCCGATAAAGCACAGTCATATGAAATTACTCTTAAATAAAAAGCACTTATTTATTGAACAGTATGTAATAATTTTATTTTTAAAGTAGATTCAGAAGTTTGAATTCTGAATATGACCGGACTTTTCCTTTAAAATTTTTATTTACTTAAATTGTGATTATATTACAGATGCAATTAATTATTCGGATCTGTGATATTTCTGACTTAGACATGTTCTGCAATTGCATTTCCAGCACTAAACTAGCCCTTGTTTTTATTCTGACACCAGGTCTATCAGGTTTGCACCGATCCAAAAGCAGAAAACCAGAAAACTTCTCAGAAACTGAAGTTAAATGAGGACGAGCTCCATTTTTAGATCCTTAAAGTCAGTTTCATTTTGATTGGGCCCTTTCAAAACAAAACAATTACACTTCACCATGATTAGAATATAAGATTAACACTCAGATGACATGAGGCACAACCCACTTCATTACAGACACAGTGTACCTCGTCTAATAGAGAAAACAATGTCTGACATCATGCCATGGCATATTGCAGTCCAACTTTGCTTTAGCATTAAGTCCCGCACACAATCTAGACCTAATTCAGGAAACATCTAAACTCATAAAACTTTAGTTTAAAACCAGTTTTAAAATACAGCATGTGTCCAATTAATAAGGAATGCTTCTCTAAGACAATAATAAATAATCCACATCTGTGTATTCCAATACTGTTTACAAAACAGGGAGTATAAGATTTCTACTGATACCTAAACTCACCGGTGTAGCTTTAGGAGTTACTGTCAGAATAAGACTATTTTAAGTAATGGTTAAAATGTGTAAATGAAATCAGAGGAAGCTAAATATTCATAAAGCGAAGCATTAGCAATCACCTTGAATGCTCTAACAGGAAACTCGATCACTCAAAGCAGACAAGCTCCTATATCATTTAAAGAAAAGCGAGTATAACTATTTTGAAAAGCAGTTAATCAGAGAGACGTATCTTCTTAGGATTAATTTTATCTTTATTTTGATAAGAAGTTGTAGTAGAGAAATAAAATGTTTTGTGGTAAGATGAACTTGGGCTTTCAACAGAAATGTTTTAGAGGGATGTAAAGGACATGCTATTACACTGTAAAACCCTTTTTGATTCATTATAATAGTGTGGCAAGCTCTTTGGGGAAAAAATAATGTTCCTTATGCAGCCACAGCAAAAACAGAGAACTAAAGATGGACTGAATCATAACTTCATTTCTACATTACTAATCTTGTTTGCTCTCCACGACCCTAATTCCTCGCCTGAAATTACTTCAAAGCAAACGCAAATATCACAACTACAGAGGAAAATGGGCTAAAGTGCAAATACAGCTTGGCTGCAGCTTATGACCAGCTCCAAACGTAATGCGAGTGTTTACAGCAGAACAAGTGACCTTGCTACTTGCTAATGAGAGGGATTTCCCTACCAGGAGCCAGTCTATGGTGCACTGAGGTACAACCTATACACAGGATTCACTAAATAAACTCCTAAACAACAACAAATTGTCTCACGCTAAGTTTTTTCTCGACTACTTATTAAAATCCTAGAACTTCGGATAGATCAGATTTTTTCTGTGTGCACAGTTAAAATACACTAAAACGTTTGTCTTACATTTAAATGTTTTTTTTTTATATCGGTCCTTTAAACTGAATGATTTCAATGAATTTGCAGATCTTCAAGGATAAAAATAGGTGCATTAGAGGAAAAATGAAGAAGTGGAAAAAACAAAAAACAAATCAGCAGCTCAAACATGTAACACTAAGCTGAAATCTGGAAATTGTGAAATAGTAGCAACTTTGAACCAGAACCTACATCCTTTGTTCAGGATCTCTTAGAGTGATCATTTATTACAAAAGGAGCAAAGCCCTTTGTTTATTATTATAATTACTGGGGAAAAAAGAGCAGACCGACTTTCATCATGTAATAAAATGTTAGTAATTTGGTAGGCTTAAGATCATCAAGGTAGGAAGATTTAGATATGAATAAAAAAAAACTAGTACTTTAAAATCACCATAAACTGATCATAGTTGTAAGAATTTTTCCATACCATATATGTATATTTCATACATAAACTTAAGAAAACCAAATTAAGAAAAACACAGCTTTAACCCTTCACAGGGCACAAAATTTAAATTTCAAGCCAATAGTGTTATTGGAATCCAGGACAAGACCTCATTACCTTTGTACTGTTCCAAAATATGGATATTTTAATGGCAAACATTAATGTCAATGTAATAACAATAAACGCCAACTTGCCTGAATATAATAAGAAAAATTAAAAAAGTGCCTTTATAAGAAAATCATGAAAAACAGAGTGAAAGAAACATTTTTTTTTTAGTACAACATAACCTTAAAGGCATTAATGCTGATACGGGCACTTACATTTTTAGTTTATTAACCTAAATATAATTGTTATTAGGCTTATTAACTTTTGAACTTAACTTTTCAACGTTTTAATTAGCTTTTTACCTTTTTTTCTTTACTTTTTTTTCCAACTCAATTTACAGTAGGTAATATATCATTCAAGGGCTCATCTAATTAGTCAAATGCCAAAATAAGATGTACAGCACTTTAGCAGCATCTTTACTAAATGGCTGGATATAGGTCTAAAACGGTAAATTTCCCTATAAAGGGTTAAGTAATTGCAGTAATTATAGTATGAAAGTCATGATTAGTACACCTTTCTAGGTGCTGAAACAATTAGTTGGATTAATCGTTTATTGAAATAATAGTCAACTTAATTAGTAATCAATTAATTGTTAATTGGAGTATAGAGTAGAGACTGTAAAACATGCCTTTAGCTGACAGAGCCTTGTAAAAAAATAAAAATAAAAAAACATAAAAAAATATATATATATATATATATATATATATATATATATATATATATATATATATATATATATTCATTTTGCATTTAAGACCAAAAGAGTTTCACCTTGTTTAATTTAACACAAAATCTTCTTTAAGGAACCTTTGGCTATCCAAATATAAACCAATTAATTGAAAAAATAATCGACAGATTAATTGATTTGCAAAATAATCATTAGTTCCAGCCCTACACCTTACACATCCACGAAACTGTGGGTAATTTAGGGTTCGATATTTCAAAATGGCCAAATCCGTATCATATATAAGATCATGCACACTTTAGGTGATGAGTGCAAAGAATTAGTGGACTGATTTGGATGCACGCAGCATCGGTAACATGAAGCGGGGCAAAGGGGATTCTGTCAGGGATGTGTGACAGTGTGTCAGTGGTGCTGCAGGAAAGCTGCACAGCTGCTCTGGGGGAAGGGCTTCCTTAAAACATATACTGGATGGATAAAAAAGATGGGTGATATTACAAGTATATCAAAATCAAGAATAATAACCAAGAATAAAAAAAAAAAAACTATAAATCATTGAACCAAAGAATGAAATAGAGATGAGCAGCACAGGTGGATATGCCTATAATTGTGCTGATGATAGGATAGGTTAACACAGGTGAAACGGTCCCCTCTTCACATTCTGCTTGATCATTTCAACCAACATAGCTAAACTACACGTCCCAGCAATCCTAACAGCCTCTTTGTTGCATGACACCTCAGCAGATGATGACTGTAGGCCTGCAGTCAGTATAAGTCAACAGTAATCAGTGTGACTCACAGTTCCATAGCAATAAAACTTGTCTGAAGCGGAAACCTGAACATGAACACACCCTGTCAGGGTTTGGTGTGACGTTCAACTGAACGCACATGTAGTCATAGTTTAAAAAAAAAGATAAATTAAAAGATGACCAAGGTGACAAGAGAGTCCATCCATGGTCAGAGCTTCTCAGTATCTCAGGTCAGACACAACGAGCTCTGGCCTTGACATTTATTAATAAAGGGAGATAAATGCTAAAGAAAAATGTTTTTGAGGTCATGGTTGAGTTTAAGACATAAAGGAAGGATTAAAAAAATGGAAGAAAGTCTATCTTCTGACAATGGTGCTGGTCATGCTCTGCTAGCTCCTAAACCAACATCCTGTATTAGCTTCACCACAGCTAAAAGCCTGCCGTCTGCTCCCATTCACTTCATCACAGAGAAAAGTAGACCCGCTCAGGAAAAGTGTTATAAAATAAAAGCTGTTAGACACATGGAATAAGGAGATATATATGGCTATCCCGAAAAAACACTTGAAGCATCCCCCCACCGACATCTCTTCCTTTACCTTCAGACAGCTCCAAATCCAACTCAGCCAACTGGTCTCGAACCTCCTTCGGCAGGGCGGACAAATCCACGCCGCGGTCCGCCATGATTTGGCCGAAAAACACGAGAACAGTCTATATGACAAGAAACGGGGCCGTCGCGGAGAGATTTTGAAAAACAAAAATAAAACCCCTCCCTCAAGACATGAAACAAGCATCGGAGAGGGAGAGACGGCCCATCCGCACGGCTTGCCCTTCCGCCATAATGGAGGGGAGGGGAGGGGGGGCTCATTCACCAGCGGCAACGTGTGGTCACGTTACCTCCTCCAGCCTCTGTTGCTGTTGTTGCTTCATCGCCGCATCCGAGGCGTCAGGGCACGCTGCTCCCCCTAGCGGTCAAACGGTAGAAACACACACAAACGTCTCATCTGAGAGCTGCTCCCCCTAGCGGTTAAACGGTAGAAACGCACACAAATATCTCACACACAGACATCAACCCAAACAAGATATAAATCTACTTTACGGTTATATTTTCCCCATTTTCATTTATAGTATGGACGGATTAAATATATATTTTTTAAATTTTGATAAGAGAGAATGTAATTGTACATAAGAGACAGTGTAATAAAGTTACCTGAAACTAGGTAGAAAAAGACATTTAAGGTTCAAGTATTTGCTATTAAAACTATATAAATGTTAGTAAATATAAGCAAAAGCTCTATTCAAAACCATAAACTAAAGATATAGATAGGTAAATGAGGTAATTTGTGCTTTAGGATGTCTGGAGGGTTTTCCATGTCTGAAGCCAGTGCTGTCATTACTATCAGACTTTTCCCAAAATGTAATTTTGTCTCAGAGAAGTTTACATTAGTCCTTCCACCTCTGTGAGTCAATCTGGCCCTAAGCTTAATAATTTCTCTTTTTATTGTTATAATTTTGTTAACAATATGAGTTTATGGATGAGTAAATAAATATTCATACATGAATGCTCAATGTTATCATGATAGTGAGTTTTTCTATATTCAAATTGAGAGCATAATACATTTAAAAAAACATTTAGATGATGGACAGAATAGTTATCCTTGCCTGGTAAGTGTGTGACCAGCGAGCTACCTAAAGTTGACCCTTCCTAAAAACTGTAAGTTAAGTGGCCATAAGTAGAATAATAAATATGGCATCATTCTTTTAAATGAATCTGCTCTAAAGGTGGTTGAAGACAACTCAACCTTCAACTAATTCAGCCCAGGATAGATCAGTTTCTCATTCCAACAGTGAAACAGGTCAATATAAAAAAAAAAAAAAAAAAGCTTTTCAATATAAACAGCAAGATGTGTAATCTTCCAACTGTAAACTACAGAACTCCTGGTGTAGCTATGCATGTTTGCTCTTCCATCACTCCAAAAACGTGAAAGGCAAATTATTTTCAAACTTCATTTAACTTCTCTAAAAATTCAGTTACCCACCCACTTTCATCCAGCATTTTGTGTACCACTTTGTGTTTTTTGGTAAATGATTATTATTGAAATAATTTTATTGAAATAAATTACATTTAAAATTGAGATGCACCTGAAGAACGGAAAACATATTGATTTGTTTGTTAAAAAGTACACAACAGTAATGGCCAAGGAAAAAAATACAATAGTTCCTATGGTAGTGTATATAGATTGGGATAATCTACTCCATTCTATTTGAATAAAAAGTTTCAAGTGAAAACTGAATACAAGTACGAGTAAGAGTACAAATTTAGCTCCAATGGAGGCTGTAAGCTGAAAATAAATAGCCTGCTTAATTAAAAAGTGTTAATGATTACAGGAGGTTAAATTCTTAATTCCACGAACATGGGGGTTGTTCCATGATCGTGGTTTTGGACATTGAAACCACTGTCTACGTTTCATCTCGACATAAGACCTCTGCAAGGTTACTGGTTCCTGATTAGGCAAATCATTTAATAAAACCTTATTTAGCCAAATAAGGTTTTATTGACCTCATGGATTTGCATTGTAAATTGATTTGAAAACAATTTACATATATAAACTTATTTTGTAACTAATTTGATCATATCCCAAATTCTTCCAGATAAACTTTTGTTTTCAAACACAAAATCCATCTTAAGCTGTAATATGGTTTTCAACCATGTTTCCACTTCCTCTTTGTACAAAGGTTAGTTTAGTTGAGTTTCACTAGTTTTAGTTAAGAGTTTTAAACTGAAATATGTTAGACTTGGAGCTGACTTTTGTTAAAACTCTTATATTTTGAACAGAAGTTGTGGTGAATTTATTCCATGTATGTGCAGAATTATCTGTTTGATCATGATATGAGCTCGAAACACTCATTGTTCTAACAAACAGCTAGTAGGGCGTGTTTTCATAAACAATATTTAACAGCCCAAATAATATCTGATTAAATAAAATATTTACCACCCCTACCGGGAGGGCAATACACGTCTTAAAGTATCAGAAAATATGAATTCCAAGCTGGCTGGGAGTTGAATATAACAGTTATTCACAACATTAATATGGCATCCAACCTGGATGGACTTTGAATATAAATTCACAACATGGGTTACTGATGTTATTTAGAAAGTTAAACAAAAAAATAAACAAAACGAGATCCTTAGTATGTAGTTTCTTTAATTAAAACTGCAGCACTTTAAAGTGTTCATGATATTCCACTTGGACATGCATGGAAAAGTAAATATATTCATATAGTACAGATATGTACAATAAAACATTTTCTAAAAATCATCCATCTGGCAATGGGAGTGTGAAAAAAAAAAAAGAAATACACAATGCGAAACTGTTACCTTGTATTTTTTCCATTCAACTTGTAAATTCATAGCAATTTGAATATGAATAATAAGGCAGAGACTGAAAAATAAAATGTAAATTGACCAATTTAGAAAAATAAGTTAAACAAGGACAGTGAAAAAGACATGGCCAGACATTTACTAAAGAGATTAAACTAAAGCTGGAGACTTCTTTTTGTAAAAAGAGTCAACGTTTCTTCCATAGAGAATACAAACTGATAAAAACAGTGTTAAATGAAATAACTCTATATTCATCAGTACAATCAAAAGCAGTATGAGAAAGGTTGTACAGTGTTTACAACACTACACAACGACAAAGAACAGTAAATGACAGAAAAAGGTGCCCATCACACAAATGAGAATCCAGAAAATAATGAGCGATATAGTAGTTTAAAATTTCTTTCATATAAACAATCATCTATATGGGACTGCTAGCTGTGTATATAGCGCCAGCAAGTAAAACAAAAAAGCTAGGGTCGCCATTGGGACTGTAGGATGAGAGGTTCAGTCGCAGCATAAAGTTTTAAAGTTGGTGAGAAAATTCCCCATTCACATCTACAGTACAATTTTGGAAAGAACAAAAAACTGTCCTGTTCTGAGAAACAAAAGAAATGCACGAACAGAGATACAAAGCCACAATAAAGTCTTACTTTAGTGCTTTTTAAAAAGATCAATATGATAGATACTTTGCTTTTCAAAATAGCATCTTGCAAATATATGATCACCGTAGCAGAAAAGGAAAGCACAAGTGAAAAAAGGAAAAGCATGTTATTTGTGTGTTTATGCAAAAATACATAGTTAAATATCTTGGAAATATTAAAAAAAAAAAAATATTTCAGATGTTTCTGTTCTTAAAGCTTTTACAAGAAAAACATTTTCTTTGTTTCTCCACCAGATGACAGAAAGGAACAAGTATTTTTCCCCATTTCTTTACTGGAAATACAGTATGTCAATGCAATTATATAATAAAACTGTCGAGTAATGTTAGAACCCAGCCAGAAGCATCACATCTGTATTTGCACATTCGATTTTTAAATATCAAAGCGGAAGTATCAGAGGCACGCGTGATCTTAAGGCAAACAAAGATGTGTGTGAGAGATCGTGTCAAAGTGCAAGAAACAAGTAGTGATAGACTAGATTCTGTCACTGGAACACCAAATAACAGACTGTTTACTTCCTGTCTCAAAACAAGTACCAGGTGGTCTTTGGAGACCCAGAGAATATGGCTTAGTTTAGGTTTGGTAAAGAGCAGAGACTAGAGGGGTGGGGGGGGTCGTCACACTTCCGACAAGCAGCAAGGATGATCGCCATCCTGAGAAGTATGAAAACAGTTACATAAAATCCTGGAGCCTCACAGAAACGCAGTGAGAGTAATTTCATATAAGGTGAATAAAAGGCCACCAACTATCTGATTTCTAGGGAAATATGAAGGACAGCGGAGGAGGAATTCCTTTCAGGGTAAATGGAAAGCTTAGAAAAAAGATAAAAATCGAAAGTACAATCAAATGTATTTTAGTTGTAGAGACCAATATTGGAGGATGTGCCAGTTTCATCGAGGAAAACACATAGCTGCACACACGTTCAGGAAAGGTCACATGCAAACAACATATAACAAGGCGCCAAATCTAATGTAACCACTTATGTTCTAGTGTACATAAGCATACAATAGCACGCAGCTAATAAGTCTTAACATAAAGGGGTAATATGAGGTAACGTGCTTGGGTCCATGATGCTGATGTGGAACAGTTAACAAGATGGTGATCAGAATCAGAACAACTTGAGACGGTTGTTCTCGTCAACTGAGCTGAAGGTGTGTGGGTGTTAGCATGGTTACAAATGTAGATCATGGTTACAAATTGTAGATCAAATCAGATCCTCTGGATCTGATTTGATCAACAATTTTTATGCAACTCCTTTGAGTCTGAAACTGTGCACATAGGAAGTCCATTATCAAGGCAGGGGGTCAATGCACGTCCTTTAAGTCTTTTGAAAAGTTTGTTTTCACCAAGGGTGAGGAGAGATGAGCAGAAGAGGCAAAGAGGAAAAGGGATATCGGAGTCCAGCCCCTGTAGTTTATGGCAAAGTTAACAGGAAGCTCTCACTAAAAGTCTCAGACCATTCCCAGAACGCTGCCGATGCTGCTGAGCTCCAGGCCACAGCTTGAAGGCTCCACAGGAGGATGAAAGGAGGAGAGACGGAGAGAGGAGATGTGAAATTTGGACCTAAAGGCTGTAGATAATGGGAGTCTTTTTCTACCCCTGGGTAATGAACCAAGTCTGGGCCGGTGGTGGTGCTGCTCATCATCTCGCAGCAGACTGAGACTGTGCTGCCATGATGATGTGAGAGGGTCCACCCTCTACCCTCTGGTGCTGACCCATTCCTGCTAGCACTGACATGGCCATGGCCTCAGCTGCAGCTCTTGTGCTTAAGCCGTTTTGACCCACTGAGGGGCTGGGTGCCAAAGAACTGTGCTGGATCACTGGGGCAGGAGAACCTGTCGGCTCTGATGTGTCCTTTAGGCTGTCTTCTGCAGCTGCAGAAAACAGAAAGATAATAAAAAAAAAAAAATTTAAAATCTATATAGAAAAACAGAGCAGATAAAGTGTGAAAACTGAGTTCCGACTAGTCTGGCAAAAAAAAAAATATATTCTATATATTTTTTGCAGCTAAATATGATCAATGAGTTGTCTGTCAAAAAGTCTGACTATTACTCTGATTTAATCAGAAGCAGCAGTCCACCAAGGCACCCTCGGTCTGCCTCGATCCTCAGAAAAAAATTTAAACTGCAGACTTGTGACGGTCTCTGTGCTCTAATTAGCATCAGTTAATCGACTAATTTTAATCCTAGCTCTACACATGGACCTTACCTAAGTAGGCAGTCTTCTTTTGTAGGGTGGTTACAGGGCAGTCCTTGTGGGCGAGCAGAAGCTGCTTTAAATGTGCCACCTCGTTACGGAGCAGTGAAACCTCATTCTGAAATGAAATGGAAAAAACTTAAAAAGAAAGAAAAACATTATGCCAAAGGACAGCTTTCAAATTTCTATGTTTTTTCATAAAAGGATTTTAAATGGATTTACCTTCTTAAAGATTTAAGTCTTAAAGGTTTAAGTCTTAAAACCACTTAAGTGATGCTAACTGATATGTCTTGCAAGCTTTCGTCCTCCTTCCACCCACTCCACACCCACTCACCGACAGCGAGACGTTGAGAGTGCTCAGCTCCTCGGCCTTCTTCTCCAGAGAACTGACCCACAGTTTGCGTTTCTGTCTGCAGCGCGATGCCGCCGCCCTATTCCTCTCCAGGAAGCGCTGCCTTCGCTCATCTGGGTCATCATCTGTCGTTCGCCGTCGACGCCCACCTGTAGGCTGTGCCGGCGATACCTGATGGAGAAAAATGACAAGAGGTCAAAAGGAAACAGACAAGCGAGGGGAACGGAAAAAAGACTAGAAAGACAAAGGAAGTTTGACTCATAGTTTCAGTGCTGGAAACCGACACACATTATAGTCATCTAGGCTCATTATTACGTCTTTTAATGCCTTCAGAAGGTTTTTCAATATTAATCGATTTCACCTCAGTTTTCTTTATCTAACTACCTGGGGTTGTGCAGGCGATGGGGCATCTGGATGCTGGACCAAAAGCTGGCTCTGCTCGGCCTTCTGAGGGACCATGGGGCTGCTGCCCATTACCATGGCACCCAGATGCTGTCCTGATGGGCTCTGCTGCGACAGCGCTGCTTTCAGACGCTACAGGAAAAAACGGGGATAAAGAGAGACCGAATACCACAGTTATCAAGCTGAAAATATGACCAAAGTAGCAGAAGAATAAACCATGCAGAGTTTAAAGCAATAATGTTTTTATAGCAAAACCATGCTAGACCTTTAACTTACAGCGTGTCATGTCATCAACCCAAATGCATCAAAAGCTAAATTAAGTCAGGTTTTGGTTTGTATTTCAGCACGCTTTTATATTGTCTGAGCCATGCTCCACTATCTAGCTGGATTTTTATTGTCAAATCTTATCAGCTAAACGGAAAAAAAATCTGAAATAATAGTTAATTGTTTATACAAAAATAACTCTACGCAATAGCATAAAATGAAAAAATTATTGTTCCAAGCAATGTACAAGGTGAGGTCTGAGATCAAATATTAAATAATAGAAGTGGATATAAAAAGGTTGGTTTTCGTCAGTACATTCATGTGACATCAGGATCCATCTCACCAGGGTTTGCTTCTTAAGGCATAAAAAAAGTCTCTAGAAAAAGGTTGATATGTAATTATTGCGATGATGGATTATGATCCAGCACGCAGTTTAAACTAGCCAGTAAGGATCTTAAGGCATACAATAACTATTTACATATAAAATAATCCCCCAATAATAATAATTCTGACACAAATAAAACAGTCAAAGTTCTTAAAGTACATAGATGCTCTTAAATTTTGATGAAAACACACAAAAAAGCAGCAGCCTCTACTTTTTAATCAACGCAACTCTCTTTTTGTGAAAATTGTGGCGATGTATGTAAGAGTTAAAAAAAACAAGTTACCACAGTAAAAAGTCATATGATTTAAAAAAGTAAGGCAAAGTAGACACAAGTCTGGAGGGTAAGGATGCGGATAAGAAGAACAGATAGAGAGATAAAAATAGAGAGCTAATTTAGTGCTGACCATCTTGGCCTCTGAGTGGATGCTGTAGCCAGAGGGGGAGTTGGAGCCGCTGCTGCTGCCTCCCAGAGGAGGACCAGGGATTCCAGGAATGTTGGGTACCATACACATGGGTCGAGCGAGCTAGAGTCAGACATGATGCATAAATGCACATAAATTAAACCAGAACATTCTTCTTCTTTTTAAAGATGAGGTGAAAGAAACTGCTGGCGTGCCTTACATTAATGACGGAGGGAATCTGGACAGGACCGGGAAGCACAGGTACAGCCTGACCCGAGGGAAGCATCATCATCGGGTAATGGCTCGTTGGAGAACTATTAACAAACGGGAACCGAAAGAAAAAGAGATGTTTGCATAAAATGATTTCAGTAAACAGTCATCTAAGCAGAAGCATTAACCTATGCTTCATATCCAGGCTGCTCTTCTAAGTTTTAACAATAAAAAACAAAACAAAAAAGTCAGACCTTAAAGGGGAACACCGTTTTTTTACATTTGACCCTTAATTTTACGTTATTACATCATGTTCTAGTCACCCATATGAGTTTTGTGTCAGTTGGAGCCATTCTAAAGATATTCCATTAGGTTATATCCAAGTAACGTCTTCCTATGGGCAACGACTTGAAGGCACAAACTAAACTGTTCATAATTTATTGTTTATGGTACGCCAGCATTTATAACATGTAGGCGAATCACTGTCCCCCTGACATCCGCTGGTATATTTTTTATATTTATATCTTTTAAAAACGAAGCTGCGCGTGTATGACGTCATCCACGTGCGCCAGCTACTGTTCATTTTTCCTGTTCGCTGAACTACTGCTAGTTTTACTCACATGCCTGGAAGATGTCTAGTGCTACTACCACAGATGATCTCACTCTCGAAATGGAATTGAACGATTCAGATTAGCTAGCCGAACAAACAGAAGGGGTAGAGCGTAGCGCCTGTGGCCCGGGCTGCCTGTCACAACTCCAAAACACATAAGTGGATGACGTCATACACGCGCCGCTTTGTTTTTAAAAAATATAAATATAAAAAATATAATTGCAGATGTCTGGGGGACGGTGATTCGCCTACATGTTATGAATGCTGGCGTACCATTAATGATAAGTTATAAACAGTTTAGTTTGTGCCTTCAAGTCATTTGCCCATAGGAAGACGTTACTTGGATATAACCTAACGGAATATCTTCAGAATGGCTCCAAATGACAAAACTTACATGGGTGAGTAGAACATGATGCAATAACGTAAAATCAAGGGCCCAATGTAAAAAAAAAAAACGTGTTCCCCTTTAAAAAAAAAACAAACAAAGGATGCAAACAACATAGGCCTTTTAACAACTTGTGGGGCTGTAAGAGCATCGCTAGACGGAGCTGCTTTTCAAGACTCACTGAAGCGGTCTGGAATGGAGAGGAGGATGTGGAATTAGACATGGGAAGACGGCACACAGGCAAAGCAAGCAACCGCCTGGCCCCCCTACCAGCAAGGGCCCCTTTTGGTTGCCCACCCTTCTAACAGTGTCCCAGCAAAGCGTTTGGTGTGTATTTGTGAACAGGAGTAGGTGGAAGTGGATTAATTGAATGCAATTAGTGATCAAACCTAATACTGACTCAGAAAGGGATAATTGTAAGTTACAACTAATTATCTTTTAATCCAGCACTACGTGAGGGGGGAGGTTTTCTCTAAAAAGCATCTCCATGGTCATGTGTTGGTGAAGAGTCTCAGTCATCCAGGTCATAATCATCCAAAAAAAGAAAATTAAAAGCAGTATGTACAGTTTTTAACAGTATTAAAAATTCTATAAAACCTTGAAGTCAACGCTATTCCTGACATTTTGATCTGAAAAAGCTTCCTGGATGGGAAGCAAAACGTCTTCAAACTTGGAAACAAAGTCCAGTGGATTGTTTTTAATTTTCTTTTTTTGGAATCTACATGGTTATCATAAGGAATAGAGCAGATGGACTCCACCTTAGCTATAAATGTATATATATTGAAAGGTTCTGGCTGTGGGAGAAAACAGCAGGAATTGTCTAGCTGGATTTATCTTCAGATATTACAAATATCAGATTCTTAGTTTAGTGAAAATCAAAGCATTTATTCAAAGGTTAGTTAAGCACATTTAATGGTTATTTAAATCATTGCATTGCTGCAGTCAGTCCACTAATATAAGATACATTATTAAAATATAAGGTATCTGCTGGTGCCAGCAGAAATAATAAGAAGTGGAACAGTAACCCTTCATCTCCACCAAACTAAGCTAATAAAACAAGGATACAGTTTTACTCAACATAAAATATACAAACTAGACATGTCTTAATATCTGAAACATTGATACTGATAAAAAGACAAAAGATGAGGATTGAAGAAATGTCCTGGATGAGGCTTTAAGTTATATTCTGAACCACATAAGATAATGCCTCTTTCTCCACGGAAAGTATTTTACAGAAAATGATTCACTGATGGACCAGATGCAAAACAACAGACCATTCAGTAAAATGATTGATTTGAAATGTGGACAGGAGAAGTAAAAACAGTTCCTTCATTAGAGGAAGGATGGGCTGGAAAAACGACCTGAGCTAATTTATTAAAGAAAAACAGATTCATAGAGTCAATGTTTATCAAATGTTTGAAAGGCTCTCATAGAGAATAAAATATGTCTTTTTAGAATCTTACCAGAAAAATTAACTTTTGATCAGTTATGAGTTCAAAATAAATTTTTTTTTAGAATGAGCAGAAATTCAAAAACAGTGATTTTTTCCCCCCCCTATCAGTCGTAAACCCTGTGTGCCTTCATTTCTCAGTTACTTTAAAAAAAAAAAAACAATTTCCGAAAAAGAATATAGTTCCATGAATACATTTTCTCTAGCAAAGTATTATAGGTATATTCTTTATCTTTTTTTAAAGACAGGAAATAAAAAGGACCTCCTTCATCCCCATCCTAAAGCCACATTTGATATACAGTACACCCATGTTGCTGAATCAAACATCATCTATTTAGTGATGCCTCCACTGTGGTAACTCTACAGAATCGCTCACTCTGAGGGCCGAACGGGACATTAAGGCAGACTTGGAGGACAGAGCTCCAGTTGGGGCCCCAAAATGGTCAAGTCTGCCACTTATTTTTAAAAAATGTTAATTTCACTGAATTCTCAGTGGAATATTACTTTTAAACAGAGTGTAATGTCAGGTGCGTTTCCATCAGCTTTTTTCCAATGGGCATTTTAACACATCGCATCAGAAAAGTTTAATGGAAATGGCACAATTTGAAAAATCCCTAAAACTCGTAGAAACTTTTTAAAGCTCTCTTGAGTTGGTTTTCAGCTTTAGCGAAAAAGGACTAATGCACAAAATGGCAGAATGAAACACTATTGCCCCATTTCCACTAACACTCTGAAACCAATCCAAAACGACTTTACACCTAGGTTCTATCAGCTAACTGAACCGAGCTTGATTCTTACGACCATTTACACATCATGCTAGCACGGTGCCTCACCGCCTATCTGCAGTCCACAATACTACAGCTCTCAAAGCGGGAATTACGCAAACAAAATTGGCACCGCCCATAACATTCAGGAACTTAAGTGCCTGGATAGCGTCCTCCGCCCAAATTTCAATGAGAGCTTCAGTCTCTGCACCATCCCGGGTCGCACCACGCTTCTTTGATGCCATTTATTGTTAATAGGCTGAGAAGAAATTTGTGTTGTGAAAAGGTGAAGAGATCTGTGAATTACAAAGCCGGACACTGCGGAAAACCCGTGAAATTAGTCAGTAGACTGTATGTAGGAGATGACGCGGTTTGCTCATGCGCTCTTTGTTATCAGAGAGTCGAGCCACAACTGAACCTTGCCGAGCCTACTGTTGAATTAGTTTTAATTTTGTTCGGTTGTGTCTGGCATGGTCCAGTTCAGTTGCATCAAATTTACACTCCACAGTTATCTCTGTTACCCTGCTTGGACCATTTTCAGCATGGTTTCAAAAGGGTAGTAGAAAAGGGGCTTATTTTTCAAATCAGCTGATGACTAATCAGCTGTTTCTGATGTCGGAGTCTTCCTGGATGTTCTTATAATGCGTGTAAACATGGCTGGAAGCAACATTGCCATACATAATGTAAGAGCGACACATTCCTTAAATCTTTCCTCCATTACTGATCTGTGGTCAGTGTTAGATCACTGCCTCTACTTCCTGCTTAATACAACACAATGTGAACAATGACGTAGGATGACATTACACCTTGCAGTGCTTGTTTACTTCGCTTTAAACCAAATTCTCTCAACTCTGCAAAATCGTATTCCCACCCCCCAACTTTTAAAACTGCCTAAAATTTGCATTTCAGCTGGATGGAAACACGAGGTTTCTTTCTGTTATATCAACTGTCACTGCTTGCATGCTAGGTGTGATGGGTTGCTGCTCAATTAGTGACACATCGCAAGCGAATGTCTGCCGTCTCATCCAGGGGGAGCGACGGCTCGATGCAATCAGCTAGGTTTCCTTTCACCAATCTCTCTCTATATTTAAATGAAATGCCTAGAGATAAATTGTCTTGGGAATTGATGCTATATAAAAAGACTGAACTGAATATAAACAGTGAAAATGATGGGAAAACACGCTGAACGTTCTTTATGTGTTAAATCATTTTTGTTCCTAAAGAGCAATTACAACTAGTTAAAAATGGGTGTCTGCAGGTCAAACCTGAGGTCAGAAACCACAAAATGATCATCAGTACATTTAACGCAGAGGTAGGAGGTTTAATACAACTAACCCCAAAGTGCGATTTGAAGGTGGTGCCTGTGTGATGACAGAGGTGGGTGATGGCATGGTGGGTTGAAGAGCATCAAAGCCCAAATGTAGTGGGAGAGAACCTGGGCGAACAATAGTTGGAGTGGGAGCTGAACTCCTAGGAGGGGTGTCCTAGGAGATAAGCAATGCAGCAATGTAAAGAACATGAAACAGCTTCTTTAAAATTCCTTCGAGTTTATTTTCAGATGATTTAGATAAAAATAGGAAACAAAATGCTGTTAAACTGAACAAGTCATCTCTTCACCCACCTTTACTCTAACTATGGGCTCCTGGTTGCTGTCCGAGGTTCCAGATATCGATTCTGGGCTGCCTGGAGGTGAGGAGTCCACTTCTACAGGCACCTCCTGTTTCACCTTCACATCTGAGGGTGTCTGCAGGCTCATGTCCACAGCCACAGAGTTGGCTGCTGGAAGCTGTAGAGTGACAAAGGAAAATAAATTAAAAAACAACAAAAAACCCAGAATAAATTCACATGACCAACAGAGTATGAAAAAGGGAAGTTGGTATTTAATATACAAATTTGCTTGTCATGGTTAGGTTCATGAAACACCACTTTTAGTTCAAATGAACGACTAATGCATCTGCTTATATGAACACTGCTGCAATAACTGAAACTCTAATGATGCATAAAAACTGTGCAACACAGGAGTTTCAAACTGTAGGTTTTGATTAAATCAGCAGTTGAGCTAAAAAGAGGGAAGTGAGGACATTTTTACTACATTGAAGTCTACAGAAAATATCCCTGATGTTTGAACAAAGCAATACATGTAAAAAGGAACATAAGCATGACAGTCAAAATGGTGATCGTCCTCACAAGCTGCTTTCTTACAGAGTTTTTTGCCTTTTTTTCATCGTCATCTTGTTCGAAAGAGTTAGCAAGTTCATTAAAGAGGCCGACTTCCTCGCAGTTCTTCAGAAAACGAGTGGGGGTAGGTGTTTGATCTAGAAAAGAGCAGCAACAAAGAAGGAAATGACTGTTAAAACAATATGACAAACTGTTTAACACTTGGCAATTAGAATAAGGACTTTCTTTTGCAGGATTTTTTTATGTCGCATAAAAAAAAGACCTAGAATTTTTTGAAAATGTTCTTACATTTTGTCTTTTTCCTCTTTATTTTTATTTATGACCCATTAATGCACAGAAAAATGCAGCAAACAACCACCTGCTTCAGCAGAGACTATTTGCATTGTCTTTGTGCAAATAAATTTGCCTTGCCTTATAAATTAATTGGTTATTGGATGAGTTTTTATAGCATCTTTTCATCATAGTGGTCACTCGAGGCGATTTTTACCAGCGCAATGTCACGTTCAAATATCCATACAATGACATGTGGCACCAGAAAAAACAGGAATCAAACCCAAAAACTTTCTTATTTACAGACAACTAGTTTACCCATGGGACAAAAATAACTTTAACCCGAACTTACTGCATCTGTAAATCTCTGATAGGATTAAATAGGCAAAAGTCAGCATTCTCCTCAATGTGTGAACCTCATAATACAAATGTAACAAATAGACACCATCATGATCAGAATATTTTAGCAGGAGTAGGAAAAATGGGCTATTCTATTTTAATGATGAAATGTGTTAATACTGTGTTATTATCATACTGCGAGAATCTAATTTTAACCCAGTCGAAAATATAATACAGTCCAAATATAGGAAAGATTCTTAACTTGTTTTGTATTACAATAATGGATCAAAAGTTTCTTTAAGTCTATATTTAGGTCAAACATTTAAAATAAATTATATCTTTATTAGAAGCTTCTTTAGTTAGTTAGGGGGTTAGTTTCTCAGACCCTAGATGGTGAAAAGAGTTGCATTAAACTTTGTGATATATATCGCCCAGTCTTAGTATAGACATCACAATAACTACTCTGTATGTTTATGAGCCTATCATGTTAAAATTATATCAGAGTTAGTGGAGAAAGGTGATCCCGATCATAAAATTTAAACTGTGATATTTTCTAGAATGAAGAACTGCTGATAACTGCTGATATATTTTTAGCTGTAAATCTATCACCCCATGTATTCTTCACTAGGGGAGGGCATTTATCGTATTGTTTATCTTAATCGTGATAATTTTTAGTCATAAAGGTTTTGATCCGTCGTCTAAATTATAATTTAGATTAAAAACTCCACAAACTGGTTCAATTTATCAAAGTTTTGTTTTTACAATATTTCTTTCATTTTTATCCATTGGGGCATTGACACATTTGAAGAACATGATTAAATGCAGTTACTATAAGATGCTTAGTGACATAAATAATACTTGTCCTGAAGAAAACAATTTCAAATGTGTATATTGTTCAATAGTATTTAATATTGTGGGGCAGTTACCTAAGAAAGACTGAAGAAGTAATTTTTTATTCATAACTTTTATCGTCATTCCGTTAGAATAGCAAAACATTGTGATAAGATAAGTCCATATTGCTGAGTGCTGCTCTAAAGAAGTCTCTAAAAATAAAACTTTTATTTTCACATGTTAACAACACTGCTTGAACATGAATAGAAAAGTAATTTAAACGGTAAAGGTAAATATTCTGATCAAAAATTATTTCAGAGAGACTCTTTATTACCTTTTACCAGATATCAAGAAGATATCAAACTATAAAATACTAAATCCATACCTAGTTAGCAGTTAAAGTGTTAGCTGGTAAAAAAAAAAAGAATTTATTTAAAAATGATCTAAATGAAAAAAAAAAAAAAAAATGAATGTTAAAAAAAGAAAAAGGCCTTTAGACAACCTGAACTCTTTAAATTATGAGAAAAAATAAAATGGTCAGATTAAGGTTGGGCGATATGTAAATATTTTCCAACTAATACTCATCAGGCCAACTTTATGAGCAAAGACATGCACCCCTCAGAGCGCATCTTCTGCAGCGCTGGTAATATTGTTCCCAACCTGCAAACACTGTTAAAACCCAATAAGGTAACATGCTTGTTGACTGGTCAGAAATATACACATTTTGTCCAATGGGAATAGGTTCCTCTATTCCAGTTGTTCTGAACATGTCATGAGACATTATAGTTTTTTTATTGTTATTCATTTGTTTATCTGAATGTTAAAAATGTAACAGGCTGAAAACTGGGGCAGAGATTTTTATTTTTATAGAAAGCGCACAGCTTCACTGGAGAGGGTAATTTTCCTTTTTTATTTTTTATTGTTAATTTTGTGTTTGTTGTGTTAAATCAAATCTTTAACAGACGGAGCGGTCTGTAAACACTTGGTTCTGGTTCTTCTTCAATTCAGTTCCTTCTTTCTGTATCAAGTAGATTAATTGCTGTTTCACGGTGGCACTAAAGAAAAAAGCAGCAGCAGGACGAAGTATGTCTGAACAATTAAAAACAGTGTTAGGGTTTTTTTGTTTTTCTTGTCCTGCGCTGCATCTTAACCCCTTGGTCCAAAAAGAGACAAACAAAACAACGTAAAAATGCTCTTAGAAAAACGATCATTGAAGGGCTGAGTCCATCGTTGATGGCCGATAGATTCATCCAACCGCCCACCCTTAGTCCAGATTGCTGAAACTTAGCAATGGAAATGACTGAATAATAGATGAAAACAAAAAACAAACAAAAAGAAGTACCTGCAATTATAACAGAGTCAGTCCTGGCGGGTCCAAACTTCAGGGTCATCTCATGTTTGTGTTTGTGTACAGCCAAGTGGTCCTCATTGGTGAACCTCTGCAACAGGCCAACAAGAAGAAGAGAGGGACACAGGAGAACATTACACGAATTAGCCAACAGATAATTGTAACCGTGACTTAAGGAGGCAGCCCATATTACTGTTATCCAGATATGAAATTACAATAATCACGCACAGATGTAGCACACCACATTCAGCCAATAGAGTGAATATTATAAGAAAATGCACAGAGAACACTGGATCTGTGGTATACTGTTTCTTTCCTGTAAAGGTTTATTATAGCTTGGGGGTGTGGGCATGCACACTCCAACATTAAGAAAAATAAATAAATAACTGAATTAGATACAGGATTAGTGTAGATGGGGGCTGAAATTACTAAAATGAATCTAAAAGCACAATTCAACTCATGGATGTCACTCTTTCTAGAATGTAAAGCATATGGGCAATGTAAACTATGGCTGGCCCTTCTTATTATATTACCCCCTATCAGGTATCTCAGTAGGAGCTACGGGAGCTCTGACGCAGACATAAAGACGAAGGGACCGACCCTGTCCTCTGAGAAACGGAACATCTTCTGTTGAAATGCGGCAATATGATTCACTCAGAGACGTAGGAAGAATAATCTTGGCTCTGGCTGCAGCATATTCACTATTCACAGGAGCCTATTTTAGGGCGCCGTGTTACAGTTGCGACTTCAGTCGGGAGAACGCAGTGGAAACACAGTCTAGTGTCAGGAGCCTTATTTTTAGCCCAAGCAAAAAGCATCACCCCTACATGTCTCATCTGTCTCTTTCCTCTGAACGAAACAACTACATCGGCTGGAAGAAACTATCTGCCAGTAATCTCCCTGCCTAAGATAATGGCGGCTAAGATTACCTTCCTGATGCAATAAATACTGGGCACCACATCAGGAGGGTTTGTTGTTGTTGTTGCTGAGGTTAACTTGGAAATAGGAAAACCTTGAGCTAAGCCAAAAGTCAATCATCCTTGTTCTATTACGGGCAAGATTCAAATTTTCCTGGTAGACAACTGTTGCTTGTAAATGCAGCAGTAAAACTGCATTTGGACGTTAAGATCCAGAGCTGTTAAGAGTGTCATGTATCTAACGCACATAAAAATCACCACATTGATGGTCCTAAATGCTCATGAATTAAACAATATAGACTTTTAAACCAAAACCCCTCAAGTGCGTTTTGGGTTCTGCCTTTTAATAGCGGTCTTCATCTCTTGAGACGTTCTTTGCAGTGGCTGCTTCTAAGTATGGGTCTTCCTCTATTTCTCGGTGTACCACAAGGCTCTGTTTATGGGACTAAATTGTTTTTCTGACATCTGCTTCCACTTTTTTGATGCCAGCACATTTTAAGGACATTTGAGGGCATTTATGATCACCACTAAAACATCCAATGAAACTCAGTTACACATTTAAAATAGAATAGAAAATCCCTTTATTGTCTCACAATGGGAAAATTCTGGTGTTAAAGCAGCAAAAATGGGTCAAACAAATGTGGACCTTAGAACATGTAGCACAATAACATAATAGTGAACAGTTTAAAAATAAACAAATAATTTATGGTTAGCCCTAAGAACCCTTTACACTACATGTATTTCACCTGGCTTGCTTTCTGTCAAATCTACATTTAGCTTTTCCTTTTATCATCTAAAAGATTGAGATTTTCTCTCCAAAGCCCTGAAATCTTAATCATGCATGCTTTTCATTCCATAATATTCCATATTTATTTTTTCCCCTCAATATTTTCATTTTTCTATCATTTTAATAAAAGATGCCAACATCCAACCCAGCCACAACATTATAAAATTATAATTTCCTGGGTCCTGACTTCAAAGAAATTGAAAACTTTTGTTGTATAAACTGTAGATTTACCCAGAAAACCTTGACACTGGTCAGATTGTCAATATATTAATCCTCAAATCCTTAAACCTGAGAACAATTAAAGTAAAACAGATGATTGTCAAGGACAAAAAATGTATCAAGTTTTTTTTTTTTACTTGCTTTTGTTCTGCTATTTTGTGGTCCAATTGATTAATTTGTTTTACCCATGTTTTTGCTTTTATTCAGGTTTATTTTCCCTCTGTTTTATTATCTAATTTATGTAAATCACTTTAAATTGTCCATGTACTGAATTGTGCTATACATATAAAACTGCCTTGCCTTACAATAGAGTTTTAGGGCCAGAATAAGAGAAAAAAAATAAACAAAAATAAGGTGCTAATATTAACAGTTTATTCCAGCAATATTACCAGAATATTACCAGAAAGTAGTAACGTTCCAAGAACAAAGTCACAGTTAAAATAAAATTAATGTAAATAAAAAGCGGAAAACACAAAAGAAAAAAAAACCTATTGGCTTTCACTAAACAAAATCCCAAAAAGTGAGTGATATAGTGGATTGGATAATAAGTTGTTGAAAACAGCAGCCATAAAGGAAAAAAAACAGACCTGAAGTGAACACTGCTCACATTCCATAGAGCTAGCTGATGTTGTGATATTGTAAAAGTGCTCCGGCGTTTGACACCACAACACAACTCCAGACATGTTTGGATTCACACTCAAACAAAACTGCTGGCAGAGCCACATCTGTAGAGCTGCTCTGTCATCAACATCACTTTTACTCGAAAAGTCTCCATGCTGCTCTTTAGCCGTTTTCTGAAGACAAGCATTAAGTACGCCTTGAATAACATCCACAGTGTTTGTCAGAGAAAAGGCAAAAGTCATACAAAGTCAGACTGATGACTTATTCGTCAAAAAATGCATGTTTGGTTCTCGGATTATACGGCTTCTCCTCCCTTCCAAAGTCCCATAAACAGAGGGTTTCTACCAATCAGAGAATTAAAAAAGCATACTATAGCTGCATGTATGAGTTCTTCAGATGCTCGAAGAGACAATTAAATTTAGTCTGAGAAAGCACCGTGAGACAACTAAATACACCCTTGATCAGACATGATGTTACCTGTGCTGATGAATTCTGAGTCATATGAAGAATTTCTAATCATTTCTTCTTCCTTTTCTTATATAAAGCAGAGACACAGACATACACCGCGTAAGCCGCATGTGAGTGTGCTACTATTGCCAGTCAGCTGAGTCACAGCCTCAGCTCAAAACTGTGTCTGCAGGCGCTCAGCAGTGACAGGTTGAAACAATAACTCTGCTCCGATTGCTCACTGGAGCTTTCTGAGTCAAGGCTGAAGGAGACGGCATTGTCCCACATGAGCGTGCAAGGTAGAATGTTACTAACACATTGCTCATTAAAAATGTTACATAAATCATCTTCAGTTGTTTATTTTGGCAAAGAGAGGGGGCTTCAGGAAAAAAGCCAAACTCCAATCAAAGGAAGCGTGTTTTCCAAATCGTCAATCTGCTTCAGCTCGAAATCATAAGACAAGTCAAACAGTTTCAACCACAAAGAGTTCCAGCTTGAAATGGGGACACCCCTTTCACACAGAAATTAAGGAAGGAGAAAAAAAAAAAAAGTCTTACCTGTCCACAGCCGGGAGCGTTGCACACAAAAGGTCTGTCATCCCCCATTTTTGCAAAGAGCTTGCAGTGAAACTGTGAGAGAGGAGAAGAAGAGAACATTGCAGCGAGCTTTACAGGATCTCTGAACTGCCAAATCCCGAAAACAACAAAACAGGGATGCTGTGGCTTGAAGACTTCAGTCTGAGCAGGAAGCCAAACGCTATTTAAAAATAACCCTGGCACGGAGGAAAACATGCACACAGGCAGCAAGAAGAAGTTTCCCTGGTGATATTTCCTTCTCGCAGAGGGGCTCACGGTGGCCAATGAGGAGCGGCTTACAGTAAGGAAGGACAGCCACCGTTTACACAAACACAGCTCCCTCTCCTTCTACCTTTGACTAAACCTCACTTAAGTTCACTTCCAGTCCCTTGCTCTCTCATGGCCACTCCCCCTGCTAACCTCTGCAGCACCACCTGACCTTTCCTCCGCTTGTTCAAACCCCACATCCAGCATCTCCTGCTCTCATTCATCTTCCGAGTCTTCTAATTTTTTTAAACTACCGTGTGAATTTGAACCAATTATCTATAATGAAGAATAGACACATGACCATGATTAAATTATACCTCTCCTTAGAACCTTTAATGTACAAGCCAACAAAATATTAACATAAATAGAGATAAAATGAGAATTATATCAATGTCAGTTATATTATTTGGAAAAAGGACACATGAATAAAATGTTGGATAAAAAGGTAAAGATTTAAAAATGTGGGCAGTATATAAAATTGCTGCTCTAAATTAGCAAATTCTTCGTTGATTCGCTCCAATTCATAGGTCCCAGTAATGAATAATCTGATTTTTGTTACTGATTGTGATGGAGCGCCACTAAGCGTCCATCCCAGACTCTTAAGTATCCGTGCTTCCTCTGGCCCAGGGGAGCGCGGTGCCGGGAGCGCGCGCACGGGGAGAAAGCTCTCCCACGCGAGTGCGCTGCCCGGCAAACAGCTGTGTGCAGGCCCGCACCTCTGTCCCGCGGTCCTGCACAGTCCCAACGAACATTCCCCCCCGTCTAATCCGGACATCGCGCGCGAGTGAGGGTGAACACTCGGCGCCGAGT